AAAATAATAAATATTTATTATTAATAATTTCAATATTTATCTATTTAAAATTTATAAAATTTATTTAATGATTTTATTTTAATTTCATAACATGCGTACAGTGTACGAATAAGATTTCTCACTTAAATATACTTGTTAAAGTTTAAAATAATATTTAAAACAAGTAATATTTTCAAACAAGTTATATGGTCTGACAAAAAATTGGCTGTGTCGTCTGTTCAACTGTAATATCATTTCCACGGACAAAACAAGAGAGAAAATAACTATGCTCTCTTCTTTGGTAGGGTAAGAACTTTCGTCGTCAAAGTCAAATTCTTTTTTAATTTTTAATATATATTATTATTATTATTATTATTATCCACACTTAATAAATTAAATTATATTATATTGTATGTATATATATGCTGTAAATTCATTTTTATAGATTTTTATTTATATTCTACTGTATATATGTAAGGTTTCAATTCCAACTTAAACAAAGGCATGGGCATCATTGTTGATCAAAATAACAAAAATGTTAAATTTCATTTGACTTTTAAACTTTTTAAGTATATTTTTTAATTAATTTTTTAGCACAATATTGCATACGATAAAAATAATAATAAATATTTATTTTTTGTTAAAAATTAAAACGTGTGAAATATTATACTCGTTAAAAGAAAGTTTTGAGATTTGTAAGTATAACATACATGTTAATTTTCAGTTGAAATAAATTCATGACATCATTTGCATTAATGGAATTATACGTGCATGATATTTAATGCCCTTTTAGAATAGCATATACATACATACATACTTGGATTAAACTTAAAAATATGAAATAATGTCAACACCAATGTGCAAATTGGAATGAATTGCAGGTACAGCACACTGACAAAGCGCACAATAACAGTTGGTGGTTCAAGCTTCTCCTCCATGGAGTGGACCTCAATTGCATGGGGTGGAGGCCTAGCAATAGCTGCACCAATTCTGGGTTTGATTTCCTTCCACATTAATGGGCAGTTCCAAACACTGATCACAGTAGCAGCCACAGGCCTTGGAGTCTTCTTCTGTCTTCCAGCAGGGTTCTTCAAAACCACCAAGATCTTCATTCCCTACATTGCTGGCATTGTTGTGGCAAGCGCAGTTGCCAGTGCATCCCATACCCACCATTTAGGCCTCATGATTCGTGCCTTTGGAGGACCACCCCTCAAGAAAAGCCAATTTTCCATAAGACAAGGAGTGTCTAGCAGGTTCTCACTTTATGCTACTGTTGCTGGTTGTTTGGGTGCAGCCATCATCTCCTCCTTCACTTACCACATGCTTAGGGAACCCAATGAACGTGATTTCATTAGCCTATGGATTGTTTCAATCTTCAGTGGCCTATTATGGCTTGTGGGTATGTTACATGCCTTCATAGCTGAAAACAGAACAAGTTCTGTTCCCATCTCTTTCTCCTCGATGTTCCACCTTTTTTCTATATTCAAATACCCACATGCAATTGGAGGCTTAGTTGGTGTTTTCCTCTCTTCGTTTGCCACAATGTGCATTTTCACTGGTGGGATGCTTTTCATAGTGGGTCAATTATGCATTAAGCCCGTGCACTTGCTTTATATCTGGTTAATATATTTCCTCTTCCCTTTGGTTTCTCTGCCATTATTCCAGCCCTTGCAGCACCTAATTAAAGCCAATTCAGTGAAAATGAAGATATTGGGCTTTCTATTATCACTTTTATCTTCTGGGTTTGGGTTCTATTTCTGGGACAGTCATTGGAAATTGGGGCACCTGTTGATATTTGGTGCCATTCAGGGCACAGCTAGTGGGTTGTTGCACGCTTTTGGAAGGGTCTTGGTGTTGGATTGTGCTCCATCTGGGAAAGAAGGTGTCTTTTCTGTATGGTATGCTTGGGTGAGAGCTATTGGCTTGTGGATTGGGTTCACAGTGGGTTCAGTGGTGCCAGGGCGCATTAAGACTTCTTTTGGATCTGCATTTTGCACTGCACTTATTGGAATTGTTGTGCTGCTTTTTGGAAATGTTAATGACTTCGATGGCGCTGTTGCTGCAGGGCACGTCAGAGAGGATAGTGAAACAGGATCCCATAACCCTCACTTAGATTCCAAAGAATCTATCAGCGTTTGAAACTCAAGGAAATAATATACCATTGATACATTGTACATTTTCTATGCCTTTGATTTTATGCTATCTTGCAAATGCATGCAAGGGTAATTGATTTGACTTTATGGTTGCCGTTCTGGCGCATGTTTTGTCTACGATGAGAATTTGGGTTTCGGCTCGTTTAACTTTGCATTTTCTTGTAATCCCATTCCTTCCATCTCATCATTTTCCATCTAGGGCTTAGGGGGTTAATGGAACAAATTGAGACGATATTAACTTTATCTTATTTTAAAATTTTGAATGGATTAGTCATTTACATTTAATTTAATAAAGAATTAATAATACGTGAGATAAAGATTGAATCAACTTTGTTATATATTAATCTTAATATTATATATAACTAAACTATATAATTAAAGAAGAATCAACTTGGGCACTTCTAGAAATAGAATATAACAAAAAAATCTTAACAGGTTGTGAAAAGAAAAAAAATTAAGTGTAAAAAGAAACTCTTTGTTAAATAAAGATAATCAACTTGCCTTAAAAGTCTTTAGATCTCTTTTCTACAACTTCATGATGTTTTGAGTTTAACTTAAAAATAAATATTTTGACAAATGTACTCAATTTATGTTTTCAAGATGCATTTGTAGTCATAATTTATCAATTTAGTAGGTTATTGTTTATGGACCTAAATGAGTCTAATTTTCTTTTTTTATTTGAACTTTTATAGGAATTTTTAGGATTGATTGTTCATCAAACATTTTGAAAATTTTAAGTTATATTTATGTCTTTTCTAGGAGTTATACTACACATGCAATTATTGTGCAATTATTTATTTTTATAATTATAACATAATTAGCATTTAGCAGTCTATTTGTAACGGTAAGAAATAAATTTTGAATTAATTTTAAAGGAAATTATTGTAAACTCACAAGAGATATCAATTTAAATAAAATTTAAGAATTATGGTCATGTTTTTTTATGTGCATCATGATTGTGGTGGGATAACGACCGATCTTTTAAAAATTATTTTAAAATCATAAAAGTAATTGTCAAAGTTTATTAATTTTTTTAAAATAATATAATTTTTAAAATTAAATTTAGGTTCAGGAATATCTTACCCATATAAAAGGTGTATTAATATCTTATCTCATCAATTTTTTTGTAAATTTATTATAAATTTAAAAATAAATATTTAATTATGAAGCAATAGTTTTTAATTTTTTAAAATATATAATTTATTTATTGATATTTTAAAAAAATATTTAAAAATTTATTTTGAGTCAACAAAGTTGGTTCCCACTCTTTCTTAAATACAATGAAATAAAGACATATATTTTTTAGATGATTTTTATGTTCAAATAAATTTACCGTGCATAAAATATAAAATAACATAATTATACATGTTGTTTTAAGATAAATAATATTAAAAAATAAAGAAACATCACACGTTTATATTGAATTTTTGAAAAAATTAAAAAATAATTTAATTTATAAAAATTATTTGAGTAAATACTTTATTTAAAAATTTTGTATTACATAAAATTTAAAATAACATCAATTATATATAATTCTACATCATTTATAAAAATAATATAAATTATATATTGACAAAAATAATATAAATTATATATTGACGTTAAGTAACATAAGTATGCATAAATGTGTAAGATTCTTACCGATTTATATCGTATAAAAGTAGAATCATATTTAAGTAAATAAAATTTAATTAATTAATAAATAAATTATTTAATTATTTAAAAGAAAAATATCTAAAAGAAGAGAGTCAAAAATATATCTTAATTAAGAATTTATTTAATTAAATAGAGTTATATATCATTTAAATTTATATTATACAAGGTATAAGGTAATGTATAGAAATTATACAGTAGCCTTGCAAATCATTGCATAAATAAGGTATAGTTTTAATTTAATAAAAAAAATTAAAAATTAATTATTTAATTAATTAAAAGAGAATATTTCAGAATGTAATATATTTTGAATAATAAATAAAATAAAAAATAAAACAATTATTTAATTAATTAAAAATAAACATTGCTGCCCCTTTATTTGTAATAATTTCTTTATTAGTTACTACTTTGATCCTTTTGCTTTGAGATCAAATTTTCAAAAGATCTTTCCCTACGTCCATAAGTTCAAAGCTCGTAGGAAAAGATTTGTAACACTAATTCTTCAAACAATTGTCTCCACTAATTCAAGTTTAGCCAGATCATTTTTAATAAGATTGATTCTCTCCTATCTGAAGGAGAATAACAACTTTATTCACTAAAACTATTGCACAAAAACAAAGCTGTTTTTGATACTTCACATAGTCGCCTTCACCACATCAAGAGAATTTTCAAGTGAAAAATTTGTTTTTTATAACAGGGAAAGCAAAATTCCGAGACAATGTAAATTTGAGAACCACAAATGCAAAAACAGAACTTAATTGTTGATCAATCATAACCCATTTGTCACTTAAACTCCTATTGAAATCAATTATGTATTAAGACCTGAATTAATCATATAATGTGTATAAGAAATATTAGTTACTTGAATATAAAATTTGGTAAATAATCTTATATTTCAAAAGTTAAAAATATTAATAAATTATATCAAATTAAAATTTTGACATAAATTTCGTTTAAAGCCTTAAAATTTTTGAATTTGTAATATAATTTTGAAAAATATTTAATCAGTCAAAATAACTAATGCTTATATTCTTTGTAATTAATGTGAAGTAAAAGAAAATAAAAATATTTAAAAATTGTTTTATTGAATAAGTAACGGAAACAAAGCCAACTTAATAAGGCCGATAAAATGTTCTGGCCAAGATGTTGTGACGCATGCCTGTGCACTTTTTTTATTGGTGGAGTTTGACGGCAATTCACTTTGTGACATTTAGCTTTTAACCAGCGAAATTAAAATCCCTTACCCAATGCAACCCAGTCAAATCTGCAGCAATATCATCATCCCGAGATCGCCGCCCGAAGCACTACGCATTAAATCCAAATCCAAATCTAAGAGCAAATCCAAACCCAAACCCAAACCCTTAGCCCTCACCCTATACAAAAATGCATTCAATTCCCAACCCCTTCCCTTGAACATGCACTTCCCTGCCCCGAGAAGGTCCACCACTACGCTTCCCAATCGCGCTGTCAAAATGCGACCCCCGAAACGGCTTCGCATGCCACATGCGGAGGATCTCCGCCGCTCTCCTAGGTTGAATTCTGCTCTGGCCACTGTTGGAAGTGGCAATGCGGGTTCTAGAGAGAGAGAGAAAGCTCGGACACCGTCCTCGACGAGTTGTTCGGGTTATCTTGTAAAGGTTCTGGCTGTCCTTTTGCATGCTGTTGTTTATTTGTTTTACTTAATCATACTTTGATTTTTCATTTGAAATGAATGTGATTTTGATTTTTAAATTTTATTTTAACTAATTCATTTTTTAATAAAATGAATGTGACATATTTTTTTATATTTAGAACTCTTCAATTTTTATATAAAATATAAAAATTAAATTTATTTAATTATTCTGTACTCAAAATTCATTAATAAAAAATAGTTTAACTATTTAATAAATATTTGAATAAAAATATATGATTAAACTAACTATTATTCGCAAAAAAAATTAACTATTTTACATATTTTAAGTATTTAAGATTAATTGTTCTCAACTTCTTAATCAGTACTGTTTACCCAAAAAACAAACCTTGTTAGAGAGTACTAAATTCCTTCCAAATATTCAAAATTTCAACTTTTTAAATCTTATTTTCATATTTTATAATTTTTAAAAATATTTTGATGCTTCAAATCTATCATAAACTTTTATATGTATAGAAAAAATAATAAAATGAGAAATTTAATTAATAAAGAATTGTTAATAGATTAAATTTTCTTAATTTTTAAAATAAAGATATTTAATGAATTTAGAAAAAAATATAAATAACCAAAATTATATGAATTTTTGTATTTTAACTACTCACTCTTCTCTTTCAGATATTTTTTTACTTTCTTTTTCTATTTTTTCCCCTCCATTCACTTTACCCCAAGATGTAATTGTGCACTGATATTGCACAAAATTGCATATAGTATGAGCCAAAAGAACCCAAAGTATAATAAGTTTTTTTTTCTTCCTTTTCTGGATTTCTATATTTTCTAGGTCTTGGTTACCGAAAATAATACCCTTTTATTTTGCAGAAAGGTAAGTTTTCTATTATGATTTAGGTAAAACGTGAAATGTTCGATGTCAGTGTGGGGAGCGTAGTCCCCCCCCCCCCCAAAAAGAGTTAAGTCTATTTGCGGGGTACTATCAATTTTTTTTGGGCAAAAGTTATGTAGAAACAAAAATCAGAAAATTTGAGAAAGGAAATATATTGTATCGGTAATATAAAATTTATTAAAATATATTTTTTAGATAATTTTAAATATTTGATTTTTTAATATGATCTGCTTAAATGTCACTAAAAAGTCCTTTGTTGTGTTTTTGTTGTTTTGGACATTTTCAGATAGGAAAAATTAAATGCTTGCACTCTAGAAGATTGAAAATAGATTTTTTTTAATAATAATTATTTCATTGGAAGAGTGCAAAGTTAACAAAATAAAACAAGGAATCATATAATATCTATTAATTATGCATATACCAAATATTAAAAATTTAAATATATTCACGTTCAGACATATACAATACCAAATATTAAAATTTAAATATATTGGACATTCATACATATACAATGTAATAGTTGATATTTATTTATATTTTAAAAAATATATATTATACATTATAATATAATATTATGATCAAATACCAACCAGTTTCTAATTTGTGTGAAAGTTTCTGCTCGTTGTCTAGGTGATGTTATTTCTCAATCCAACTGTTACATGGAATAAATTCAACATTTGTAAAATATTATTTGATACAGTATGTCAAGGTTTGATCTTGGTTTCTCGACCAATTCATCAATTATTGTGTGATTTCTTTCTGGTTTTGTTAAATGATACTTTTTCAGTGCATCTATTTTTGAATTGTGATATTGATACTTTATTGTTATTTTTAATATCTTGTATTTTGTAGTATAATATGTAATAGGACAAATTAATGCTTTAGTTTTTTTTTTTTTTTTTGTTTTGATCTGATCTTTTAACTTTGTTTTTTGTTTCATTTAGGTCATTTATCTTTTTGTTGGTTTCAGTTTGATTCAATATGTCAATTGTACCTGTTTTTTACCATGTTAATGGTACCGTTTTCACTGCTCTAATTGTTAAATAGGGCCAAATTGAAACTAAACAAAGAGAAGAAGGACAAATAATGAAACAAAAGAAAAGTTAAAGAATCAAACTAAATGAAAAAGTAAAGTTAGAGGATCAAAGTACTGATTTTGTCTAAGTAATAACATTTCCTAGTATAATATGTAATAACATGTTGAGGCTATCTGCAGCATGTTGACATACCTTATTTGACTTTATCTGAATTTCATGGTTTAAAATCTGTCTATTGATTCTTGAGTTATGCAGCGGCAAAGGTCTAGGGGTCCAGAATTACCATTGAAGTGAGTGAAAACTGAAATGAATGTTTAGTACTTCACTTTCATGTCATCACATTACATTCATGCTTCAATTTTCATTGTTTCAATTCAAGGCCTTATAATGCTTCCTGATTTTGTAGTGCTGACCTGAAGGACCAAAAAACATTTTTGGATGGGAAATGCTTTCAGGAAAAGAGCTTTCGGAGATCCCCGAGACTGGCATCAACTCATTTTGAATGTGAAAGAATCTGTCAAAAGACATCACCACAGACGATGTTGGTGTCCCTTGCAGAGGACAACCATGGAGTTTCATTAAGCAATGAATCCAATATTCATTCATATGCCAAGCCAGGTCATCTTTCCTTTCAAATGGAAACCAAACATTTCAATAATTCTGATGGGAAGTTCGTTGGTGAGAAGCACTTGAGAAAGTCCCCAAGAAAGTTCTTTGGTGTGAAACTGTACAGTTCTCTGGGGGTTAGGAGATCTCCAAGACTTTCATCTTCCAGTGGAAGTAAAAACATGGAAATTAATGCTCTTCAAGAAAAAAGAATGTCAAAAGTAGTTCACCAAAAGAAAACAAATACAAAAATGATTTCTATTTCCATTGAATTGTCTAATTCACCAGTTGAGCAGCATTCCAAGGTTAAAACCATCTCAAGAAGCTCTACCCCTAGAGTTCATGATACAAAACGCTTGAGCTGCTCTTCAGAGGCAAACACATCCTCATCCTGGGTTGAAAATGGCAGAATAACATGTAATTCCTCTGCGTTGTTGCCTGAGTTAGATGACAAGCCGCCAAGAAAGAAAAATAGAACATCTATTTCTTCAACAAAGGAACTTATGAATTCAGAATGCAATCCTTCCTTTGTTGGTGATCCTATACCTGATGATGAAGCTCAAAAAAGATGGGGATGGCGTTATGATTTAAAGGTTGACCTTTTTCTTTTAGTATGCTTTTCATTATAAGAACTTCAGTATGCTGTGCACCAAAAATGAAATATTAACCATGTTTGTGTCACTTAACATGATGGTCATGCCTTTATTTTTTAAGAAATAATAGTTTCTATTTAATTGAATAATATTCTATTTTTTTTATCTGATTTTTCTGCTGAAACTTGCAGGACAAAAAATTTAGAGATAAAAAGTTCAAAGTAAAGTAAGTATTAACCAATTCATAAACTTATGCAGTGTATTTTAGCACTCTTTCTCACATGATACATTTTCTGGTTTCTTCACCATATTTTTCTTTTTTGATTTGCTGATTTCATAGCGAGGGTGAAGAAGATGAGATTATTGTAAATGTCAAATGCCATTATGCACAAGCTGAAATTGAGAATTGCATTTTTAGTCTTGGCGATTGTGCATTTATAAAAGTAAGTGCTTATTTAAAAAAAACCATGCGTATTTTTTTTTCCCATCTCTCTCCTCTCTAAAAGTTTGGACAGTTGAATTGTCCAGCATTAATATTTTTCACATGCTTTTCAGGCTGTCAGAATATGTCATAAAAAATAGAACTCTCCTATCTATTATTATGTATTTATCATTTATTCTGTAATATTTAGAATCTATGATTTTAGTTCCTTATAAATCTGCTTTAAATGGCTGTAACTGCAACCTCTTCCTGTATATCTCTTGTAAAATTATAGAATATCTACTTAATGAGCATACCCCCAAGAGGGAAATTTTGTTTTCCCTAAACAATTTTCTAAATATTTTAATATGGAACATGTGATATTTGACATGGTATCAAAGCGTATAGCCCATTTCTGTTACTTCCATGGTTCGTGGAGGGAATCTCCACCATTTCCATAGTTTCTGCTATGTATCCTGGTCCAGTAGACATTTTTGGAATGTAGGTGTTGGAAAGTCGCACATTACCTACCTTAATTATTAGGGTGTGGTTTATATACCTGCGAGACAGCATCACTTACTGCCAATTGACTTTAAGATGAAATTGTTAGGATCCAATTGTAAGGTTGTGGGCTCTCTAACCACAACGGTTAGCTTTTGTGTTGTGGTTCTCAAGGTTCTTATCAGAAACCTAACATGTCTCCTTGTCAAGGTTTATTATATGATAATAGAGGTTACAATCCAGTGTTTCGTCATTCAAATGTTCATTGGGCTGAATCCCCTTCTGATAGATGTTCTACCTCAGGATATTGTGTTCTTTTTAGAGGCAATCTTGTGTCTTGGAAAAGTAAAAGAGATGTGGCCAGATCTAGTATTGAAGCAAAATATGGAGCTAGGGCCATAGTTTGAAGTAGTAGAAATAGTATACTCTCCTGAGGTTAACACACGCAGCTTTTTCTTTTGTCCACATCATTTTAAATTTCTATATAAATCTCTCTTTTTTTTTTAATCTCATTTCTCCTTTTAAAGATGACTAAAACACATAATGTTTGTATTACAATTTTTTTAAATGACATGGACTAGTTAGTGAGGGATTGTCACATGTAAACATGAGTGTAAATGATGCAATGAATGATTTGCATTCAGCTGGAGATTTGAAGCTTCTAGAAAATTATGCATTTGAAAGTTCATGGTGTGAGATCACTTCAAGATGAAGTAAATAAATATCAAGGGTGTGTGCACTTTAGAATCTCTCTTTTCACTTTACTCCCGATGAAATACTCTCTTTTGCTTTTAGTTTGTATTTTATATTAATATTAATCATTATGAATCTTTTGGTTATTGGTTAAACTTAATGTGTAAATTTTTTAATGTATATTTTCATCTTTATGTCTCCCTCAAATAAATAAATAAAAAGATCTTCCCCTTTTGTAGATTCTTATTTAAGATGTTTTCCATGTTATTGCTAGAAACTTGTGACATGTTATGATGTTATTGATGTTGAGTTTCCTAACATCAAATGGAATATTTGAAAATTTAACATTGAAACCATCATCAATGTTACCTACTGGTGTGCTGCTATTGTTTAAATTTATCAACCTCATTAGCAAGGGTGTAGTGTGTGTCCTTTTACCATGCTTATGAATATGGCTAATCATATTATCCTTTCTACTGTCCATTGTAGAGCTGTTGAGTAACATGGATGTCAGTGACATTGGTCACCTTCAAAATCTAATGAACATAGTACAAGTGCAAGTTATACTTACACTTTAGATAATTCTTACAGGGTGAAGGAGGGAAAAATCACGTTGGAAAGATTATTGAATTTTTCCAAACAACTGATGGTCGAAATTATTTCCGAGTCCAGTGGTTTTATAGAATTCAAGATACAGTGAGTACTTAGTATGTCATGATATTTATCTGGTCATGTTGAAGGGTATGCCGCTGAACTGTTTCTTCCATTTATTTCCAGGTTGTCCAAGACGAAGGTGGTTTCCATGACAAGAGGCGTTTATTCTATTCATCAATAATGAATGATAACTTAATAGATAGCATAATAGGAAAAGCTAATGTTACACAAATAATGCCTAGGGTATGACAAATATTGGTGATCTTTCTTAATTGTTTTGGTCACAATTTCATCAGATGATTGCTGCATTTCGTTTGTCAATTTTGAGGTTTATTCATCAGTCTTTTATATTCTAATGACCAAATTTATTGTGCGACTCGACTCCTTGCAGGTTGGTCTGAAGTTGGCTTCAGTTTTACCATCTGACTTCTATTATGATATGGAGTATTCTGTGGATTACTCTACATTCCACAATATACCAACAGGTGCGTCATGAAGGAGCCAATATGCTTTCGATTATCAGTATCTTTATCTGTTTATTTTATTCTTGCTTTATCTGTCACTAGAGAAGGAAAATGAAATAGGAGGTTGAGGAGCCTTACAACTTGTAACAAAATTTACTTTTAGTACTAGGTAACAACTTCTGTGTGAATGCTTCTGACATCTATTTTGACCTTTCCATGCATAAAATCCATCTGTCCCCTTGTCATGTTAATACTTCCCTTCTATGTTTCGTTGGTTCTTATGCGATCAATGTTAGCTGTCTTGAACTGTTCCCAATAGGTTCTTCAAATTGGTGTTCTGCCTTTTAAGATTATATCTAGAAAGTATCTATACACTACATTATCACCATCTGTTGTTCTCTCGATTGTCTCAACAGAGGCCTCTACAATAATTGAGAGTCTACCCTGTTCTGAGTTGCACAAGACAGAATTAGAATTACTAGATCTCTATTCTGGCTGTGGTGGCATGTCAACTGGATTGTGCTTAGGTGCCAAAACTTCATCAGTTAACCTTGTGACGGTATTATAAAATAAATCCTTATCTCTAATGAAATTCTTATTCATGAATTCATTATATATATTATCAATGATTCATTGATCTTGCTTTGGTTGCTGTTTTGCTCAGAGATGGGCTGTTGATAGTGATAGGTCTGCTAGTGAAAGCTTGAAACTAAACCATCCAGATACATATGTGAGTGATGACTATCTTCTACAACAAAAGTATATGATGGTAAATTTTCACATTCAGAGATAATATTTTCCTTCATTGTGTAGGTGCGAAATGAATCTGCTGAGGACTTTCTGGAACTATTGAAGGAGTGGGGAAAACTATGCAAACGGTATAATGCTGATAATGCAGAAAGATCACTTCCATTACGATCAAATAGTTCAGGAGCAAAGAAACAAGTGAATTCTGAATCTTGTCATGAGCTTGCTGGTGAATTTGAAGTTTCTAGGTTAGTCGATATTTGCTATGGTGATCCCAATGAAACTGGGAAACGTGATCTACATTTGAAGGTAATAAATCCAATGTCAACTTTTGGGTATTCATTTTTTTTCAATAAAACCTAATTCTTGAAATCATTTTGTGGACATATGTATTTGCTTTTGGACAGAGGGATAGACATGTGACGTCAAATGACTTGTGATAGGTCATAAGTACACGGTTATTGTCAAGTAGTATAAAATGTTATCGTTTTCAGAGGGACGCTGCTATTAAGTATCAAATAATTGCAATCTAACTATTTAAAAACAATCAATTAATAATGTGAAATAAAGGGAAATTAGAAAAGACAGAAATTAAAAGTACATTTAATTCAAAAACAAACGAATTCAAATTTTAACAAACTTTTAGGAATTAGTTTCACCACAAATTAGAATTGAAGAACTTAACAAAAATAGATCCTATGGTAATTATTGATTTATCTTAAAGGTGAATTATCCTAAGTTGGTTATTGTCCTCTTTCAAGTTACAATAACATAGTAATTAAATTAACTCTTACTTTCGTAGTTATTATATTTAATTAAACTCTTTAAGTTCTATAGTATCGATTTCTCAAAAAACCTAGCCTACTTTTGTGGTATAGAATTTCAGGTTCAATTTTGAGTTTCCAACAACTTAGTTTACCTTTCAATTCCTCCCTTAATATTTTAAATCATGTAAATAAAGGGTTTAATAAATTCATAAGCATTATGAGCACGAAAATTTGAATCAAGAAAATAAAGATTTACAAAAGATCATAAAATATTCATTATATTGTTATTAATCCTAATATACATTACTGTCAAACCCTTGAATAAAAAAACTACTCAGTTATGGTTGAATTAAGAGCTCAGAAAATTAACCTAAACATAATGGAAAGAACAAAAACAACAAAAGATTATAAAACAAGATCTTAAATTCTCTCTTAACATTTTTAAAAATCATGTAAATAAGAGGTTCAATAAATTCACAAACATTAAGAGTATCAAGAATTGAATCAAGAAAATCAAGATTAACAAAAATCATAGAACATTCATTATATCAATCCTCATTTGGATCACTCTCAGACCCTGGAATATGAAAACTACTCAGTCATGTTTGAATTATAAGAAAAATCATTAAACCTAGACATAATGGAAAGAACAGGAACAATAGAAGTGTAGAGGAGGAATCTTAATCTCTGCCCTTAGGAGTGTGTTGCTCCTTTTTGGCATGTAGTTCCAATGTCTTCACTCTCGTGTCAACAATGGTACCTTTTTCTTCTTTGTTCTTTAGGGTTTTTATAGAAAAGCCTTCTTCAGCTTTTCTCTTTTGGGCTTTTAGATCAAGAGCTCAAATAATTTTAATAATTGTTGTCAGCATTATGAATACAGGTCTTTCTTCCAACACAATCTTATTATGTTTGTGGCTGCCAGGACCTCTTTCTAGCTCCTTTAAATGAGATAGGAACGCAGGTGTATTTCTTGACATAGGAAGGTCGTGTACTTCTTTGCAGGCTTTTTGTTCCAATTTTAAACTCCAAAAAATCTCCTAAGCTCGAATCTCTTCATTCCAACTTCCAACTTAAATTTCATCTTCCAAATACACTTTTCTACGTGACCAATGCATAAAACAATCAACTTGAACAAAAACAGTAAAATGCTTCATTAAACTAAATCAAAATCTAGGATTATGCATGCTTTATTTAGAAATACAACTTAAAAAATTAATGCATGAATTGCACACATCAACTAGCACTTGAAATTTTTGTCAAGTTCACGTATTTTCTTATCAGGGGAGAGACACTATTGTTGTGGATTCTAGAAAGGCATGCAAGTTTAAAAGCTTGTGTCCTGCCTCCATCAATAACAAAGGAGAGGAAGAGAAGTTGACTTACGGGGTTGAAAATTCTTTTTAATGACAAAAAGGGAAAAGTATGAGAACTATGTACATTACATTAAAAAATGTCTTGACGGTATCTATATGGTAAACACTCAGATTGAAACTTCTACATTAATTAGTTCAAGCAGGAACCTTTTAAGTCATATGATTGCAAGATCTGTTGTATTGACTTGTATACATATGTACAGTTGTTATAAACTCAATATATTTGAGACAAATTTTCTGTAATCATAAATATTATTGGAAGTTAAATCATGAATTTTCATTACCTTCAAATTTTCTGGTAACATAGGTGGAAAAAGAATGTTTGGGCTTCGATAAAATCAGTGTTTCTTAGTTTCTTTTACAAAGCTCAGATCCTTTTAGTTTTGTGAATTTTTTGATACCACTTGCTGTCTTACTCAAAACTCATAAGGGACCAGCAGGCTTCGTGCATAGTTTTCTCATGGTCAAAGTTCTTTTAGTGCTACTTGCTTTACATCAACAGCCCCTTTAGCACTGAATTTGCCTATTGAATCTCTAATAATGTTGTGGTTCATAAATTGGTGATGGTTTACATCCTCACGGTTGTTTCATAGGTGCATTGGAAAGGTTACGGTGCAAGTGAAGACACATGGGAACCAATTAAAAGCTTAAGGTACATATTTCTTGATTGTCTTCAGTGTGAATTGATGATATTAACTTTGCTTGGAGCATCAGTGTTTATTTATTTGTATTTGTAGCAAATGTACGGAAAGCATACAGGATTTTGTGAGAAAAGGAATGGAATCAAAGATCTTGCCTCTTCCAGTAAGTAGTATTATTTATAGTGAAGATATGGTAAAATCCCGATGAAATTTTGCATTTTAAATAGAACTGTTGCTTAAAATTTTTTTACAGGGTGAAGTTGATGTTATTTGTGGGGGACCACCTTGTCAAGGAATTAGTGGATATAATCGCTATAGAAACTCTGCATCACCATTGGATGATGAAAGGAATCGGCAGATTGTGATTTTCATGGACATAGTGAAATTTTTGAAGCCTAAGTATGTTTTAATGGAGAATGTCGTTGACATACTGAGATTTGACAAAGGTTCGCTTGGGAGATATGCATTAAGTCGTTTGGTACATATCAATTACCAAGCAAGACTAGGAATTGTTGCTGCTGGGTGTTATGGTCTACCCCAATTTCGGTTGCGTGTTTTCTTGTGGGGTGCTCATCCCAGTGAGGTTAGTTTTAAAATTTTAAGAAATAATCTAGATATTAATGGATACTCTAAACAATTCTAAGATATAATATTAATATTGTAAGATATAATTTTATTGGATTCAACACTTTGCCTCTACCTGAAGCTAACTAAGCTTTAAGCATGCAACAATTAAACTCTTTCAAAAATATTTATAATAGAAGTGGCCAGTAGTCAACTTCGAACTAGTTGTGTGGACTGGGTCTCCCAAACTTGAGAAACAGTTGCTCTTCTTTCTTGATGAACGGTATATGCCAATGTGTGGGAGCATGTGTGACGAGGACTGTGGCTAGCATTCTAGGGTTTGACCAGTTGGAATGATAGTGCTAGAAAGTCAACAAGCACCACGAAGTTACCTGAAATTTTCTCAAAAAAGGCGGCCAAGTAAAATTGCTGAAATGAATGTCAACAATGAAGCTTGGCAGTATCATTTAACAAGCTTGCAAACTCGCATGTCAACAATGAAGGTTGACGATGTCAATATATAGGTCTATACTAAAGGTTAGACATATGACGGTTGATAGTAGAAGGATGGATGGTGCACAGTTGAAGTCTACGATGGCTTCACCCAATCAACACTGCTCCTTCATGCAAATATTGCACCTTAATAGGTAGTTCTTATTACAGCCCCAGTTTCCTCAAAAGCATCAAACAAATTTGAAAATTAGATAGAAAGGTCCATGTTATGAAATATTAGGGGACTAATACTAGCGACATTTTCATTATTGGGTCATGAGGAAACAAAACTAGTGGATTGGATATCACATCCAACCTAAATGTTAAAGCATTTGGTACGAGTAATTGTCAATTATACGTTACTCAACTTAGGCTTTTTTTATCAAAATAGGATAAAATTAAAATTAAAATACTAAAATAGGATATTGACTAAACATATTCTTTCTCTAGGACAATTTTTGTCACGTTACTTTAAGAATCATTCTTTATGGGACAAAATTTATTTTTTTAATAATAAAATAATAAATAATGTCTACGACATGACTGATATTTATTTTTTTATTATTAAAAAAATAACTCCAAAAGGTACCTTTCAAGATGTTTAGGGTCCCTTCCTTCTCCACATTCCCCTTACAAGATGTTTAGTAGGGATGGCAATGGGTAGGGTATGGGTAGGGTACTACAGTACCCATCCCCATACTCGCGTTTTAAAAAAATACCCGTACTCAGTCCCATACCCGTGTGGGTATGAACATTAATCCCCGTACTCGTACCCTCTAGGTACCCGCATACCCGTCTTGTACCCATTACCCGCGCTTGTTTGAGAAAAAAATATTTATAAAGAAAAATATGTTTATATAATTTCACATAAGTAACATAATAATACAAAAATTCAATATGTAGTTGTCGAACAAGGTACAAATATAGATAAAAAAATAAATATTCAAAGATCATAAATGTTAAATGTATCTTAATATAATAATTTTCTAAATTAAAATTCTTAGAAATAATAAGTAAAACTAAACACACAAGTTATTTGTCAGTGATAATCCTATCTTGTGTGAGATTTGATTGATTAGTAATGTCAGAACGATAACGAAATAGATCTGTACAATGGTTGTCCCTTCGTGTGGGATCACTTAGTAACCTCTTGTGACGGCATTAACAACTAACTCTAATGAATAACATTTCATAGTTATTAAATTTTAGTGAGATAGACATTGAGAATGAGAATAGAGTTAGAGTAGAGAAGTTCAATACTAACAATAGAAAGTTGATACATAAAATATTTTTTTTAACTTTTGAATTTCAAATTGTAAGAAAAATAATAGATTTAATTAAAATAATATAATATAATTAATATATATATATATATATATATATATATATATATATTAATACTAGTATTTTTTAACTCATATACTATACGAAAGTATTTTATCAAAAATATAAATTTTTGAAAAATTATTTTAGTGAATTAAATATTTCTAATGTATATAAATTTAAAAAAAAAGAATTTGAATAAAAGATAAATAGTTACAATAAAATTTTATAATAAAGAAATATACGTGTATATTAAAAAAATTATACTTTTTTATCTTAAAAAAATTAACAAATAAAAATTAACAATAATTTTTTATATTTATATCTTTTCAAAAACTTCTTTGAATGTGAATAAATAGTAAGAATAATATTATTTAGATTCAATAAATTATAGTTGTACTTGTAATACATATGTTCCATAAAAAAATATTATTTTAAATTAAAATATAAAAATAAAATTTAAATATTATTAATAAATAATAAGTTTACGGTAATAGTAGGTGATTGTAAAATTTATAAAATATTTATTATTTATCATTCACTTTATGATTAAAACATCAATATGATTTTATTAACAAAAATATTTGTGTAAAAAATATTTTATGTGTGTCATATATAAATAATATTTAAAAAAAAGTCAATCTCATATTAACTATGTAATAATTAAATTGTGTTAGCCGAATTAAATGATATAAAATAGTAAATAAATTTTTCTATTAAAAATATAAACCAAAATAAATTTTTTGGTTTACTTTATTATTAAATATATTTTTATATTAATCTTATATAACTTCACATAAGTAATATAATAATACAAAAATTCAATTCATAATTGTAGAATAAAGTTCAAGCATATATATATATATGCAGGTATGGGACGGGGTGGGTACTTAGATACCCATACCCGCACCCATCCCCATTAAAATTTGCGGGTTTTTACCCATACCCGTACCCGTATAGTGGGTAAATATCCTACCCATTATGGGTAAATTTTGCGGGTGCCCATCGGGTACTTTACCCATTGCCATCCCTAATGTTTAGCTTCTCTCGTCGCCGTATGAAACTTGGCAGGTAAATAAAATGAACCTTTCTTTTATACTCTTTATTATTTGATTTCATACATGCATGAATTGCAAATTCGGGTGGAGAAAAGTGGGATGATATGCTGTAACATTGGTATGTTAGATTGAAGGTTCAAATTTCTGAGGCCAATCAGGTTACTAGAACTCCTGTGAGGCACCCCAAACGAAATGGAAACTCCAATGTAAGCCTTTTAAATATCATTCTTTCTGAAATTGTACAGTATGAGCCTGTTTCAGAGAGAAGGAGATGCAGGGTCAAGGGTCAAGTGGTCATTCTGAAACTCCTCCTGGATGCTTGTCCTTTTGGAGTTATATTTTTAATTAAAAAAAATTAAGTATTATTCATGTCGTGAACGATACTTATTATTTTATTATTAAAATAAATAAATATTGTTCTTATAAAGGACAATACTTAAAGTGATGTAACAAAGATTACCCTAAATAGAGAATATGTTGTGCCAATATCCTATTGTAGTAATTTTTTTTTTCATTTTATTCCATTTTAACAAAAAAAAAAAACTTCAGCTTATCTATTCTTATCTATTGTAAGGCTTCTTTACTCACATTTGTTACTTCAACCATCTCTCTCAAGTGCAAAACCCTTTCACATGGTCTGCTTCTTGTCTAATGAAAGCCTTTTTGACTTTTAATCACTGCCATTCATGATAGCACAATAGCACTAGAAAAGCCAATCTTGTATCTCCTCTAGCTACCATCAATGGAGACACTGCCTGACCTCCACATTTTAGGACTTCAGAAGGCTTTCGATTCAAAGATCTCATAGATTCACCACCAATTTTATTATACTTAAATACTTGTTGACACTTGGATGTACTATCGGTTTTGATACCACTTATTTTAAAATACAAAGGGACTAAACCGCAGGGGAGACTTTTATCAATGAACCATGAACAAATCATACAAGCGGATTAAACACTACATTTAACCGAAAATCGTAAGGCATTGGGTGTACTGGTCCTTCCTACTTATATGCTACTTATTAGAGATATACATGTAAATATTCAGTCATTCAACTGGATATTAGTCTGTTATAGTTAGTTTTTTCTGTTATCAGGTATGTTATCTTCTCTGTTATAGTTAGTTGGTTTCTGTTGTGTTCTAACTAATTGTAGTAGTTAGTTTCTATTGTATCTACTTTCCTGAGCCTATATAAGCTCTGTTTTCCCTCCCTTTCTCATTTGGTGAAATAAGAATTCTTAGCCCACTTTCCTGTTAACATCTCTCTCAGCTTTTCTCTCTTCTCTGAAATTCTAATACTACTCAACTTGCATATTCTTATTCAATGTAGGACTATTTCAGTCACTTGCTACTCTAATACTCTAGCTACTTCAACTGCCCATGAGGAAGTGCACAAGATATGCTTTGGTGAAAGCATTCAAAGGGATGGCCAGTTGGAAACTAAGAACAAGATGGAGGTGTCTTTATGAACACTCAAAAATCAAACAATAGTGAATTAATCTCAACTATGGCTAAAACCAAAGTAGGATTGAACCAAAAGAGCTCCATATATTAAGGAACTTAGCAACAAAATTCTGATAGAACATGTCTTGGAGGATGGTACCGTTTGATATCATGTTGAATTATAGGTATTTTTGGTTTGAAGACAGAGAATAGGGAGAAAAAATATAATAGATAATATTTATTACTTGTGTACTATGATGTGTTAGAATAAGAAGCATTTTGAGGTTAAAACCTAGAGCACTCACCCCTGTTTATACCTACAATTTGGGCTTGATAGAAAACTTTGGTCTGACTCACTCCCAAAAACTAGCTTATGAGAGGAAGACTACCTAAACCTATATAAAGAGTAGGTAATTTCTTCTGTACCTTGTACTTTAAGAGGACATTCTATGTTCTCTCACATGTAGAACAATTATTACTATTGATTTAATATTAAATATGTATGATAGTTAGTAGGTGTTAATAATCTATTTGAAAAATATATAAATGTTCTTTAATCTTTAAGATATTAGAAGAATTACAAACCTAAAGAATATTATAGCTCTATTTTTAGCTAACATGGGACATTTTATACACTTCTCTCACACCCAAAGCTAAAGATGTAGAGTGTGAAGTTTGTAGGATTAGAGGGGGTTCAATAGGACTGAACTTCAACATTTAAACTGAATAGACTTTGATACCATGTTAAAAAATTTAGACTTGATTTACTCTCCGAAGCTAGCTCTAAGGAGGACTACCTAAGCCCTTAAAAGGAGTATTTTATCTTTATTCTTAGTGAATGTAAGACTTCTTAAATAAGAAAATAAATTATGATATTTGGAAATATGAAGCTAAGAAAATTGAGAAACTAGTCTTGAGAAATAATATCTAAAATATGCTTAAATATTCTAAGGAATAATCTCTGAGAAACACTCTTTATAATGACTATATCAAATATACACTTGGTCCACTAACCATATAAGAAAACTAAAGCCCAAACATGAAATATGAGTGGGTTTTCCTTTTGAAGTTGCAAATTTTCGTCATTGAAAATGAAGAGCATCCAATCATTTTCGACATAGGCACACAATCAGCAAATTGCAATTTTTCGTAATTCTTAATCTTATGCTGAGTGTTCATCAAGTTTTATGTGAAAATTGATATTACAACCAAAATGTTATCAGAGTTAGAGTCAAAATAACATCAATAACTTTGGTTTCTGTTTACTTGTGAAAGAGAAACCGAAAGAAGTCACTGGGTCTAGCTTCAAGGTTTTACCTGAAAGCTAGAGAAATAAAAATCAGATCAGGAAAGATGAGAGACGATTGAGAGAGGTAAAACTGTAAATCTCATAGGGAAATGAGAGTAAATCGAAAGAAAGGTGAAATCTAGATCTAACAGAGAGAAAATTGAGAGGGCATATGGAACGGATGAAGGAGATAGAGACGAACCTAACAGAGAACACGGATGAGAGAGAGAGAGAGAAACTTGAAAGAGAACATGCTAGAGAGAGAATGTGAAGGAGCGAGATCGAAGGATGAAAGCAAACTAGAGACATAGGAACGGAGAGAACGCAAGCAGTGAGAAGTTCCAAGTTCTTACTATTTTGTGGAATTTTAAATTTCCTTAATTGTGGTATGTTATAATTCCTAGTCAAAAAACTTAAAATTTTAAATTTTTTAAAATTGAATATCCAAATAGAATATTTTAATTCATAGAATTATAAATTCTTTAGAAAATTAAATTATTCATTTTAAATATCTCATCCAAACACACTCCAGTCTCCAAATGTCTCAAGTTCCAAAGGTTTAAAGAAATTGTTATATTCTTTAATGATTTTTTAGTTGTTATTCTCTTGCAGGTTCTACCCCAATTTCCACTGCCAACACATGACGTTATTGTTAGATACTGGCCTCCACCGGAGTTTGAGGTATTGACCCTCATTCTTAACTATACAATTCTATCCTGAGTCCTGCATAATTTTCACTAGTTTTGTCTTTTATTTGCAGCGCAATATTGTTGCATATGATGAAGATCAACCTCGTGAACTAGAGAAAGCTACTGTCGTTCAAGATGCCATCTCTGATCTTCCTGCTGTACTGTTTTACATTTTATTTGTTTCTTATGTTTCCACCTTCAAAGTTAGTTTTTCTCTTTAGTGTAAGAGTAAGGGTACCTTTCATTTTAAGTGCTTGGATTCACCCTTGCTCACTCTAGACACTATCGTACTTCAGATGAGCCTTTTCCTGTACGTATACTGTGGTAAACATAACTTCAAAATTATTCAATATTATAGGTCGAAAACTCTGAAACTCGTGAAGAAATGCCATATCAAAATCCTCCAGAAACAGAATTTCAAAGATATATACGGTCAACTAAGTATGGTAATAGTGCCTTCACTTGAGTACATAATTTGTAACTACTCATAAAATCACGTTTATGTGGAATAGTTTGTTACTAAAACATTTCTTTGTGATAGTTGACTCTTCATTTGTTTGTAATATTAAAATATAAAAAATAAAAGTTTACATTTTATTTGTTCCACATTCAAGTTATTGAGCTTAGTTGAGTTCAACTGAATACTAATATACACTCCTCTGGTTTCTTTGTAGTACTATCTGCACATAATGTCTGCAGTTGCTCCTCTTTTTATTGTTCTCTTATTTATTATGCAAAAGATCTTGGGACTAAACATCAGCTCATCTTTTGTTTCCTCATTATTCATTGTGTAGAGATGATTGGATCAACATTAAATGGAACAAAAGAGAAAAGGCCTTTATTGTATGATCACCGACCCTACCCTTTGTTTGAAGATGACTACCTACGTGTTTGTAAAATCCCAAAACGCAAGGTTGTTCTCTAGATTAAGTTCATGTATTAAACTTCTGATCCTTCCCTTCTTCACCTTCGATTTAATATTATTGTAGGGTGCAAATTTTCGTGATTTGCCTGGTATAGTTGTAGGACCTGACAATGTGGTTAGGCGGCATCCAACAGAAAATCCTTTATTACCATCTGGAAAGCCATTGGTGAGTTTCTTTGTTGCTGTCATTTGAAAGGGTTTTACAGTCATTTTCTGTCTTTTTAAATTTATATACATTTCAATTCGGGTAACATTTTTGTGTTATTTTCCTATATTTTTTGCATTGGCTATATACTCCATGTTGTGTCTAGTGTCCATGTTGAAGTCCATGCTTCATAACAAAATAGTTACACAAAGAACTGAATGTAATAATGTAAATTAGAGGTACTTGTTATTCACTGTATTTGTGTTTCATTATGAATAAGAGTCTGCCGTGTAAAATAGTCACACTGAATTCATCAAATGGCTCTTGTTTTCTCTGAACACATACTTTCCTCTTACCTTGGATATTGGCTTGCTGTTTTCGTTTTATTGATCAAGGAATTGATACTTGTTCACAAATCAAGCAGCATTTTGATGATCAACTTCACGATTTTTATCTGATACCTTTGCAATACAAAAGCACTGTATTTGATCTTCAATGTTCATTATATATCAGTATTCATGCTTCTTCTGTATGGAAGTTTGAAAGAAATCTATGAAGAGATTTATAGCATCCAAGATGTCATGATTATATGATACCAATCTCTATGAGCACATTAAAAATAAGATGTTTCTGGTCTCTCCAATCAGTTGCAGTTACTGGGTTTTCTAATTGATGCCTAAAACAGCATGAAGTCAAAATGAATATTGTCTGACTATTCTAATTTGGTCTCAGGTCCCAGATTATTGTTTCACTTATGAGCACGGGAAGTCTAAGAGGTGATTTTTTCAATGCATAAGTATATCTGGTTTTTTCTTGCTTTACTACATTTGAATGGCCTTAAATCTGTATTCACACATATATGTAGGCCATTTGCACGGTTGTGGTGGGATGAGAATGTTCCTACTGCACTAACCTTCCCAAGTTGTCATAACCAGGTCTTATCCCACTCTTTGGTATTTTTATAGAAATTCCACCTATTTGATTTCTTATATAAATCAAAAGTCTTGTAGGTTATACTACATCCAGAGCAGGATCGAATCCTCACTGTACGAGAATATGCCCGGTTGCAAGGATTTCCTGATTATTATCAATTCTGTGGGACTGTGAAAGAGAGGTACAGAACCATTATTTAATGAAAACGTAAAATAAGCTTAAATATGTTTTTGGTTCCTAAAAATTGTACAAAACTTTGGTTTAATCCCTCTAAAATTTGGATATCGTTTGTGCCCTATGGTCTTTTAAAAGTGACCATTATCAGTGTTTGTTAAATGCCGACATATCACTTAATAGTGAGTTGATAAATCACTTTTCACATAAGTAACTAAGTGATGTATGATAATGTTACGGATAAAAAGTGCTCATTTTTAAAATCAGGGGAAGCCTACAGAAACTCAAAAGGTCTCCAAAATTTAGTATTTTTATAAGGATCTAAAGCCTATTTAAGTCAATAAAATATTATGGATACATTTGTAGTTTCCCTAGTAAAATGTTGTGATAATAGCTAGAGACAGAAAATAATACTGTCCTCATTATTTCCTGCCTTTTACCAAGTCTCCATATAGTTAACTCGGTATTCTTTCATTTTCTATTAATACTATTTGTAGGTACTGTCAAATTGGAAATGCTGTTGCTGTTCCTGTTGCACGGGCTTTAGGTTATGCCTTTGGACTTGCATATAGAAAGCTCAGTGGAAATGACTCACTTGTGACCCTCCCGCCCAAGTTCTCTCACTCCAATCATTTTCAGTTATCTAATAATCAGCCTGGCAACACTGAATAGCATTCATCCTATTCATTTCCATTGATTTCATTCTAACCATCAATGACATTTAAACTTGTTGCTGAACAATTTTCTCTTATTTGTCTGGTAAACTCTTATCAGCAACTCCTCTTCAGCTGAATTGACAATTTCATTCATCTGCACACCTCTTTACCTAGGAAGTTACAACAATGTCTAGGTTTAATTGAGAGGCCATTTTGAGAAATGCTCTCTTAAGGAGGTGATTCTTTTCTTACCCGTTCTCATGCAAGTAGACCGGTGATTTGAGATTTGACATCATTGCCACTCGTTTTCTATCTAACGGGGTTTAATGAAAGTTTCCATTTATGTTGGAGGGAGTAATAATTTATTTGAAACTACATGGTGAATATTCTGATTATGTATCCCATGATGATGAGTACAGTATTTTTATACAAGGATGACAAGATCAATCTCTTTAAGTTTAGGGATTTGGATCAATCTATCTATGGAAATAATAATACAAAAATCAACCTAATCACATTAATAAGTCTGTCCAGCTTAGGAAACGTTCAGATTAGTGCAATTTTTTCCTGCTAAAAAATTTAGAGAAAGTTAATGTTTTTTTTTTTTTTTTTAAATGTACTCTTTATGATTGATCATCATTTTAAGAAAAATTTTGTATATTTATTTTAAAATAAATATATACAGAATAAAATTGTATATTTTGTAAATAATAATAATGATAATAATAACTTTTATTTTAAATAATAATTTTCTAAATTATTGGCTTAATTCTTTAATTATGAATAGTATGTATTAAAATAATACTTTTATGGTATAGTAAAAATAAAATTAATTAAATGTCAATAATTAATAAGATTAATGATAAGGCTTTTAAAAGTAAATTTTAAATTAAAAAAAGAATTAAGATAATTTTTATAAATGTAAAAATAGTATTTTTTCATAAATACATATTTTTCATAAATGACTCCTACTAATTCATATACCCACAAATATAATGAACTAAACTGAAGGATACACAAAAACTGTTATGAATATTTTTAGTTTTAGGAATTAAGCATAAACTCGAAGACCATAGAGAAAAGAGGGAACCCATCCTAAATGATTTTAGTGAGATTTCTCGTAGATTTATAGAAGTAGTTATTACAAGATATGAATTGAATGTGAATTAATTAGTTAATTTGCTACTTATAACTAACAAACTAATTAATAGTTTTATTTCATATCAATGCCCCTCCCTTGGAAACATTCTTAACCTCAAGGATGGAATGAAGGGTATTTCTACCTTAAATCATAATAGAACATTTAGGTTGCATCCTCTAGGTGTTGAAATTTCCACTTGACCAAAATTTTAGTTATTGCAACTTCTTTCCTTTTTACAGTCATTCTATCTAAAATGGCCTCAAGTTCCCTTTCAACAATTGGTCCCTCAGTTTGATAGGGTAGATTGGTTGAAGTTATTACATCTTCAACATGTTTTTTAAGTTGTGATACATGAGATATATTGGGGACCTTGAAATGATTAGGAAGTTCCAGTTTATAAGCTATTGCACTAATACTATCAATGATTCTGTAGAGACCAAAGTACTTGGGGCTCAACTTAGTGTTGCCTCTATGACCCACAAAAACTTGCCTATAGGGGTGTAGTTTCACATAAACCATATCACCAATCTGATACTTCTTGTATAATCTATGCTTGTCAGCCAGCTGCGTCATCCTTTCTTGAGCTCTCTTCAAATGGAACTTGATCACTTTCAAAATTTCCTTCCTTTTTCTAAGACTTCTAACCGCTAGCTCCACCTTGGATTCCCTTAAAAGATAGGGTAGATAGGAAGGAGGGGGTTGCCCATACACTTTCTCATAGGGTGTTGCTTTAGTAGCAGTATGATAAGTAGTATTATACCACCACTTAGCTATAGGCAACCACTTAAACCAATTTTGTGGTGAATCAACATACATACATCTCAAATAAGTCTCAAGACATCTGTTAACCAAAATTGACTCACAAACATAGGATCCCTATCATTGGTTATGGTGTCTGGAAACCCATGCAGCTTAAACACATTATTCAAGAAGGATTGAGCTACTTCCTTAGCAGAATAAGGATGAGATAGAGCCATGAAGTGAGCAACCTCGCTCAATCTGTTCATAATTACAAAAATTACTTGCTTGCCATAGGAACTAGGCAAACCCTCTATAAATTCCATAGTGATGTGTTGCCATACATGTTCAGGGATAGGTAAAGGTTGCAGTAGGCCAGGGCTGGTAGAAGTATCATACTTATCTGCCTGACATATAGAATAGTGCTGAATGAAATGCTTGATATCATTGATTAATCCTTTCCAATAAACGACAACTTTTACTCTGTTCATAGTTGCACTAATACCTGAATGTCTTTTGATAAATCCAGATTTTACTATGTTTTTAAGTAGTTTTATATATTACTAAAGTCAATTTTTGTCTTTAGTAACTCAAATTGTGTGAATTTAATAAAATTTTGATGTAATTTTATTGATGGAACTAGTTTTACAAGAGATCCTAAGCTAACAGTCTTGAGGATAAGGATTCAAAAAGAAAAAATAGAAGAAAGTGGCAAATCTGGACAAAAAAAGTGAAGAACCCAAAGTTGTATATTGGGAGATAGAAGAAATCTGGACAAAAAGAGTAAAGAACCAAAGTTGTATACTGGGAGTGATCACTATTAGCGTATAAAGTGTCAACCTTGAGGTTAATCTTGCAGAGAAGAATGAAAGTGTTCACTATTTTGCATAAAGTGATAGCTTTGAGGTTGATTCAGCAAAATATGATGAAAATGTTCACTATTTTTGTATAAAGTGAACACTACAGAGCCTTGGTCCAAAAGTAGGAATGAAAGTGTTCATTATTTCTATATAAAGTGAACACTACAGAGCCTATGTTCAAAAGAAAAAGTTGTGCGTGATCACTTTATGCACTTATAGTGAACATGCACAAGTCTATTACCAGGAAAATAGTTGCGCGTAACTCCTCTCAGTATTTAGAGTGAACACGCGCACCCATATAAGCTAGGTGTTATCACTTTCTTCACTTAAAGTGATCACTATAAAGAGGAATGTCATGAAGAGAGTTGTGCGTGATCACTCTCTACACCCATAGTGAACATGCATAAGCCAAATGCTGGAAAAATATCACAGAGTGATTACTTTCTTCACTGATAGTGATTACTTCAGCCTAGAAACTTCACATAAAGCCTTCTACGTGGTTACTTTCAGCAGAAATAGTAACCACGCTAGAAATTCTACACCTTAGGAGAGTTAGAGAGGGAGATTGGGGGCGATTTCTATGCTCTGGACCTTGAGGAAATTCTGCAACTCCTTTTCTTCTACTCTTTCTTTCTCTTTTTCTTTTAGGAACATGTTTTGATTTCTTTTTTGTTAAGGATTGATAAATCCGATTTTGATATTGTAAATTGATTGTGGATTTGGATTTTAATACTTTAATTGTATTGAACATTTAATTCTATCCTTAATGCAATTCTTGTATTAGCTATTCAATTAAATTGAACTTAGAGGATTTTCATCAATGGAAGTTTAGTTAATTTCTCAAATCTGAATTGAATGCCAAGGTTATTGATATCTTAGAGATAAGTGTTCATAATCCTATGATCTTTTAATTTCTAATGCATAATACAATGTTTGATTGATTTGCACCTAAGGAATTAGGGTAGTTAATCGAATATTAAGATCAATGAGTCAAGGAATTGAACTTTGATCAATCTAGTAAAATTGATCATCAATCAATTAAGGAACTTAAAGTTCAGATCTCATTCATTTTTGCATTGGATAAAGAGGTGAAATCAATCCTAACTCTATTCATATATTCTCATTTCTTAACTTTACACTCTATTTTACTATTACTTTCAAATTTTCTGGACTTTATTGCTTTTGTCTTCAAATGTTCAAAACACTCCAAATTTTGTTTTGCTCAACTATTTATTGACTTATGAAGCGATAATTGAAAGAACTAATCCTTGAGGATGATACTTGTGACTCAAAAGGGAAAGTATGGCAACTTCAAAGTTCCTCAGCCAAACCCTTTAGCCTGAGAAGTGGATGCATTTCCTGTCACATCTACTCTCGTACCACCGTACAGTCATCCCAACACGCACACACGCCAACACAAACAAATATAAGGGTGAGCTTATGTAACTAACAATCATCACTATAGATATGGAAATGTTAGAAATATTTAAACAACTCAAACAGTCCTCTGCAATTCAGCATAACAGTTCAACCCATTCCCAGCCTATCTAATACAAATGCAACTTTTTAGTTCTAACTGGTTTCATAGCCTAAGTAATCCAGAGGAACTGTTTCTGGTTTAGTAGCAACCCTAGTATTTAGATCCAGACATAGCATAACTCAACATATCTATTGTTACATGTCTAACCACCTAAACATGTAACTCGCCTTTAGAATGATGAAAATCAACATGATGCACCACAACTATACATATATTCTCAACTTCAGTTATACAGTTTAATATATACTTTCATGATAAACTAAACAATTCATAGCATTAATAAAAAATTTCAGCATATATCAACATCCTCAGTACATGTATTGCAATTTTTTAACATATCAAATTTTATCATAGCATTAAAACAATCATCAAACAACAAAGAAATCTCCTCAGTCATACGTGCTCTGGGCTCTAACCTAAGGTTTGCTCATACGACAAAATATTCTCAGCTAAAACGAAGTTATCTATGTAAATATCTCAACATCTATTAAGTGAACAAAGTCGACTCAGGTAAGCTCCCCTTTCCTGAAATGAGTTTCCTTAGTTTTGAATTTTCGTGAGTTCTAACTAGAAAAATAAGGTTCAAGGATCTCAAGTCTCCTTCATATCACAAAATAGAAGCCTTTTGAGGAAGAAAGTTAAGAAACAAGGAGAAAAGTAGGAGAACCAAGTCCCAGGAACTCACCTAAATCCGTACTTAATGGATGTTCCCACTTGGATCGAGAGGAAGTTCAGCTTGGGGAGGATTTTCTCTAAGGGATGAAGGTGAAAGAATAGAGAGAAAACGAGAGGGTAAGGTTGTCTAGTGAGAAATGAACGTTTCTTTGCACCGGGATTCCTTAAGTACCCCTCCAGACCCACGTGCTCTCGCTTGAGCGAGCTAATCCTTGCTTGAGCGAGCCCTGCTCTCGCCTGAGCAAGAGAGTTCTAGCCTGAGCAAGATTGGGTCCAGAGATCTACTCATTTTTTCTGTGACTCCTTACCTGAGTGATCT